CTATATTACTGGTATTATCGCTCTGCATTAGCTCCGCAATTAACGTGGCTTTTGTTTTGTTACTTGCCACTCTGCCTCGAGCTTCCAGTAAGTCCTTTAGCGTGGTTCTTTTAAGTAGCTGGTACTGCTGAGCCATTCATTCCTTTGCTTGTTTTGAAATGTCCATTTGGGATTCGAATCCCTCCGCTGCCACCAGTTGTAAGGAAATCAAGTATAGCTGAACCGCTTTGATAATTCCTCCTGCAATGCCAGCGTCTAAGGTAGTTCCAAGCAATGAAGTCCATAAGAAATATAACAGCTTCCCAAGATAATCCCCTTGGTAAAGCATACGAATTCCCAAATAACAGTCAGAGTCCAGAATCAGGATACAAGTAGATCTGAGGTCTGGAAACTCCAGCCTGCTTTTTATTAAGGTTACAGACAAGAAGTACACACCCAGGGGGAGGCATTAAATCACCAATCAGGTATAGATTACAGCCCATACCTCCCTCCCCTCTGATAAACAGTTAACTTAATTAAAACGTGCACTATTTTACCACAGTTCTGGATGTACCCCAAAAACAGGGGGTACACCTTTAAATTGGGTACCGCTGGATAGTTCTCATTTGTGGGGACAACATATCAAAAAATCAGTCCATTCGGATGAATGGTTCGGGAGTTATGGAACACTAAAGTTTTGACCGACCGCACGGACCATCTAGCCGAAAATAGTTCCATAAGTTTTGATGATTCGGTCGTTGCCGTGCGAAGTTCTGGATGTATGGAGGTCTCAGCGGTGTTCGCCTGTTTGCGTATCCGATTTTAGTTCCACGCGTTGACGGGCAAACACCGCTGTTCACACGTAAAATGGCCGCGGCCACGTGTAAAGTGCCGAAATGGCGGCCATCTATATTTTACACAGGGAATTCGCCTGAATCCATCCGAAGGGTAGAAATGTAAGCTATATGCCGAATTCCGGCTGGGTTTTGGTGAATTAACTGTACAACAAAAGGTAGAAATCCTGATTAACGGAGTCATTTCTTCACATGTACCTTTTAATTAAACCTCAAATAAATTGCACAAAGGTTCAATTTGTAGTGGTAGTGTTATTGCAAAGTGGACCAAATCTTCCTGGTGTCAGTGGAAACAGTGGAAGACAATGGAATGAGATAATCAATAAGAAATCAGCTACATGGTAGGACGACCACTCTGTAGATACATAGACATGTCAGAGTAACAGGTGGTGCAAGGTGTTAGTGATTTCGGGAGAGAGGGTGAAAGTGGGTAAGACAGACACACAATGGGGGCAGGGATATGCTCACACAAGGCATGAAAGGCATGAAAGGGACACACAAAGGTGCACATGGAGAGGAAAAAACACACATGGGTAGAAGAAAGAGCTGCATAAAAAGGGATGGAAGGGGACACACAAGGGGTCACACCATGTCTGTTAACTTGCTTAGCTGTTTGGGCATCTCTCCTAAGATTCCAAAGGGTACCTGAAGGCCTAAGTCTGGTTCTGAGAGCGCCCCACATAGCTGGCAATCAAGGCAAATTCATAATTTGCCTTATGGTAACATGGTGCCTTGGTGAACAGATTAAATTATGTAAGGAGTGCATAACAGATTTGTGAAAATGAGCCTTTGTAATATAGTGGATATCAATGAAATGTTGTGTGAAATAGTTGATAGAGGTGAATTTAATAAGTTTAGCAGGATGGGATTACCTCCATGATCTCCGTTAGGATGTGACAGCCAATATATCATTACAGGTCCAACCGTGCACTGGGCTATACTGTCTGGTTTAGGAGATATACATATCTCCCCCAGCCAGACAACATTATGGATTAGAGGCAGAGTGGGCTCCTTCATGGGCTGTCTTGTTAGCATCACTTGGTCTCCTGCGGACAGCACTGGAAGGAAATTATATCAAATTACTTTCTCCTGGCATAATGATGCTGCACTGGAGGCCAAATAAAAGAGCTTCACAATATTCTGCAGTCCTTCCAGAAATCCAGGTAGCCACCCTCCTTAAACACAAAGAAAGACAAAGAGGAAGTTGGCTAAAAAGGGCCTGATATTTATGTCTTTATACAGTTGCAAGAAAAAGTATGTGAACCCTTTGGAATGATATGGATTTCTGCACAAATTGGTCATAAAATGTGATCTGATCATCATCTAAGTCACAACAATAGACAATCACAGTCTGCTTAAACTAATAACACACAAAGAATGAAATGTTGCCATGTTTTTATTGAACACACCATGTAAACATTCACAGTGCAGGTGGAAAAAGTATGTGAACCCTTGGATTTAATAACTGGTTGAACCTCCTTTGGCAGCAATAACTTCAACCAAACGTTTCCTGTAGATGCAGATCAGACGTGCACATCGGTCAGGAGTAATTCTTGACCATTCCTCTTTACAGAACTGTTTCAGTTCAGCAATATTCTTGGGATGTCTGGTGTGAATCGCTTTCTTGAGGTCATGCCACAGCATCTCAATCGGGTTGAGGTCAGGACTCTGACTGGGCCACTTCAGAAGGCGTATTTTCTTCTGTTTAAGCCATTCTGTTGTTGATTTACTTCTATGCTTTGGGTCATTGTCCTGTTGCAACACCCATCTTCTGTTGAGCTTCAGCTGGTAGACAGATGGCCTTAAGTTCTCCTGCAAAATGTCTTGATAAACTTGGGAATTCATTTTTCCTTCGATGATAACAATCCGTCCAAGCCCTGACGCAGCAAAGCAGCCCCAAACCATGATGCCCCCACTACCATACTTCACAGTTGGGAGGAGGTTTTGATGTTGGTATGCTGTGCCTTTTTTTCGCCACACATGGTGTTGTGTGTTTCTTCCAAACAACTCAACTTTGGTTTCATCTAGCCACAGAATATTTTGCCAGTACTGCTGTGGAACATCCAGGTGCTCTTGTGCAAACTGTAAACATGCAGCAATGTTTTGTTTGGACAGCAGTGGCTTCCTCTGTGGTATCCTCCCATGAAATACATTCTTGTTTAGTGTTTTACATACTGTAGATTCGCTAACAGGGATGTTAGCATTTGCCAGTGACTTTTGTAAGTCTTTAGCTGAAACTCTAGGATTCTTCTTCACCTCAATGAGCAGTCTGTGCTGTGCTCTTGCAGTCATCTTTACAGGACAGCCACTCCTAGGGAGAATAGCAGCAGTGGTGAACTTTCTCCATTTATAGACAATTTGTCTTACCGTGGACTGATGAACAGCAAAGCTTTTGGAGATACTTTTATAACCCTTTGCAGCTTTATGCAAGTCAACAATTCTTAATCGTAGGTCTTCTGAGAGCTCTTTTGTGCGAGGCATCATTCACATCAGGCAATGCTTCTTATGAAAAGCAAACCCAGACCTGGTGTGTGTTTTTTATAGGGCGGGGCAGCTGTAACCAACCCCTCCAATCTCATCTCACTGATTGGACTCCAGTTGGCTGACATCTCACTCCAATTAGCTCTTGGAGATGTCATTAGTCTAGGGGTTCATGTACATTTTCCACCTGCACTGTGAATGTTTACATGGTGTGTTCAATAAAAACATGGCAACATTTCATTCTTTGTGTGTTATTAGTTTAAGCAGAGTGTGATTGTCTATTGTTGTGACTTAGATGATGATCAGATCACATTTTATGACCAATTTGTGCAGAAATCCATATCATTCCAAAGGGTTCACATACTTTTTATTGCAACTATATGTCTATGGCAGTGTGAGTCAGTATGTATGTGTATATGGCAGTGTGACTTTCTGTGTTTCCGTCTGTATCTTTGTAAGCATGTGACAGTGCATATTTCTGTGTGGCATTGTGTATATGTGGGTGTATATGTATGTATATATTTGTGGCAGTGTGTATATATGTATGTGTATATGTATGTTGAATGTGGCACTGCATAACTGTGTACATGCACTATGTATATGTGTGTGGCAGTCTGTATTTGTTTGTGTATGTGTGTGGCAGTGTGTTTATGTATATTTGTGTAGCAGTTAATATCATTGTTGTATGTATGAGACAGTGTTTACCTGTGATTGTGTATTTGTGGCAGTTTGTATCTGTCTGAGCAAGTGTGTATCTACGAGTGTGCCTGGCAATGCATATCTGAATGTGTGTCTGTAATTATGTTTCTGTGTATATTGGGGTGTGTATGTGTCTGCTAGTATGCATTTGGGGAGGGCTTTCCTATGGATTTGCAAGAGGCCCCAAGAGTTCTGACAGCAGGCCTGGGTACCACAGTGTCACCCGCTGGCAGTATTATGTGAAGTTGTTAAAGAAATTGAAGTAATTGGCACATTCTCAAGAAGTCAGATTTAAGTAAACTTTTCTGTAAATATCCAGTCAACCATAAGTCTCCGGCACCCGTAATAAGTTCCCCTCCTGCTGCAGAAGCCTGGTGGCATGTAGTAATATTAACATCAGGATGCATAGGTCTGTTAAAAAGACATGGGCCTAAACCTGCAGCTCAGCCAGTTTTAATGTTAATTCAGCCCTGTACTGGGTTAACCTTATTTGTAAATGTTCTAACTATCACAACTATTTGCACTAAGATTTAATTAATTAATTAAATATTTAATAGAAGGACTTTTTTTGCAATATGTACTGGTATCATTAAAAGTAATTAAAGTAGGGGGCGGGGCCTGACTGCTAAGCCAGCTGGTCGCATGTCGCCCGAGCTCTGGGCCTGAGACCCTTATTCAGCCTGCTTTTCAAGCTAATAATACCGCACCGGGCCACCCGTATACAGACAAGGGGCACCACGCTTGAAGCTTTGCAGCCGGTAGTCGGCAACTCCAATATGAGGCACAGTTGCAGCCTTCAGGAGGCCGAGGTGTGGAGAGGTGGCTGCTTTCCTCATACTTGGGTCGACAGCGGAGCCCAACCATGCTCCCACCCCCCCTATGGACTGGAGGGGGTTTATTCCGGTCCTCCCTGGGGTGCAGCCACACTCACCTCACCCAGACCAGAAGGGTCCAGCAAAGCTGGAATCCCTCACATTGTGAGCCAAGATGGCCACCAACACGATGCCCAGTGCCACCAAGGCTCCTGTGACCGAGACCACACAAGAAGATCGCATCGCTAAGGCCTTTGAGCACTTCTGGACGCAATTATGTGAAAACAGCCAACAGTGGATGACGACTTCTGCCTCTGTGGCTTCACTCCACTCCAACCCCTCACAGAAAGGAAACAAACCAAGACAATCCAGGCTAAAACCTAAGGCAGAGCGGCACATGGGGAAGCAGAGGCCTCATAAAGAGTCCAGAGGCAGACGGCTTAACCCAGCTAAAACCTGCAGCTCGCACAGGCCACAGTCTCTGAAGAGAAGAACTCTTCCACACCACTCACTACCTCAGATGATCCCCATACATCACAAGCAACGGAATCCTCTTGCAACAATGCAAGGGATTTCTTAGACCGGAGAGGGGGACTGCCACCTAGCTCGGTGCTTGTGGGTACCGTACAGCAGGACTCTAGTAATTTAACCTGCAAGGCCACTATGCATCCATTGGAGGGCAAAGGTTAAACAACACATTAAACATAGGGGGCACATCAAGTCATAGATGTGGTTTAATGTCTACACATTGTGTAATTGTCTACCCAGGGATCTTCACTCACTATTAAGCAAAACGATAGTTAATCATAATATTCTACTAAACACAGTCAGTTACTAAGCTCAGCCAGCCTCTTGTGTACATGACCTGACTAACACTTCAATATTGTTTATTTTCCTTTACTAAAAAAAATGTGCAACGTCACCCATGCCAAACAATTGTCTCTTTATGTCTACCGAAATGCTGGCAACAGCTATTGTGGCATTGCAAGTATATCTGTAATATGTATCATCTATGCACGAAAAATAAAGAATAAAAAAAAAAAAAAAAGCCATTAAGGTAATTGTTGGATTTCTTCACAAAGGTTTTCCTATATTATTTTTTACAACGACACTAACATAGTATCTTTAAAGTAACTTTATTTTGCCTTCATTATATTAATGATCTATTTTTGAAAACATATCTGTCTCAAAAAGTACATAGATTTCTAGAGCTTTTGAAAAATTATTAAGAAGGTTTACTTTTGGAAAACGTGCCACAGTTTAGTAAATTGTCCCTGCATTTGTCCAATAAGCAATCTATTTGTTAGACTTGGCAAAGTACTTTTGTATTTACTGAAAAGGTGTGGGTCGATTTGAGTTGCAGTCACTTGTTGCCTGATTGTTGGAAGGAAATATGTGTAGAATTACAGCATAAACACTCAAACAAACATATAAACTGATCCTATCCCAAAGTGGGCACATTCCAATGCTTAACCCATTGCAGCAACACAGAGAAATATAAATACTTAAAAAATTTACTAAATTAAACCAATTTTCTCTTTTTGAATATATATGCCTTTAAGGAGAACCTGATAGTTTCATTACTAGTATTACCGGTTATCCGTAGTTTTCATATTTTCATTCAAAATCTTTTAATTATAAGGTCACATAGAATTTTTGTTCTCTGTTAGCTTCAAAATTAAAAATCCCAGCAGTATGTTAGTTACTGCCTGGTTGACCTATATCCAGTTGTGGCTGATGTCTTCTTTATTTGCTCACTCCCCTTGGGGTTAGAATATAGCTATTTTACTAACGCGTAGCCTATAATCAATTTTTGGTACCCAACATTAAATATTAAATACAATTTCTTAGATAATTAAAATTTGCAACCTTAATAGAATGAATGGAAAGAAGGAAAGGTTGTTTTCAATATATTAGTAGAAATGCATCAAATATGCAGATTAAGAAAAAACTTTAACCTTTTGTGTCATCACTATATGATTGATTATTCAATGAGCACTTACAATAATATTTCATGCTTTTATGTATGTTATTGTAAAGAGGCAAGCAATGTCATCATATGAAAAGGTTGTAAAAGGAATTTGAACACAAAGGAAAATATTAATGGGTTTTATTTGCAAAAACTACAAATTCTGGATTAACGAGTAAGAAACTGCACATTTTAAGACAAAGTAGCCAAATCAAAAAATAAATAAATCTCTAACTCAACCAAATTTTAGCTCTGTAAGTTTAGTCTAAAACTTGTTTTTCCCTTGTCAGTTCTGCGAGTTTAGTGAATACTTAACCCCTTAAGGACGCATGACGGAAATATTCCGTCATGATTCCCTTTTATTCCAGAAGTTGTGTCCTTAAGGGGATATCATGCTGACACTGGATATTAAATAGGTTTAATTATTGATACTGAATCCATTTTAGTGCGAAGCCCATAGTGGTTGCAATTGCAAAATGTAAACAGTGCTGTTTGTAAAGATGTAGAGATTTTGGTGCTTAGATTGTCGTTTTAATATGAAAAGACACAGAAAGACACATGGAAAACACAAACAAACAAAATCAAACTGATATATTTGAAAACTTAGTTGAAATATATTTTTAGAGGGGCAAAGGTTTAAAAATAATTTCAGGAAGTATTACTTTGCTGAGTGGGTAGTGGATGCATGGAATAGCCTTCCAGCTGAAGTGGTTAACACAGTGAGGGGGTTTAAGCATGCGTGGGATAGGCATAAGGCTATCCTAGACTTAAGGGACTAATTAAAAGTATTTAAAAAGGGGGCAGAGCTAACGCATGAAACCGAACAGTCGCCATTTCTCTGAGCTCCTCACGGGCCCAGCAAAATCTCCTAATATCTCTGATATCTCTTTCCCGACTCGCCATCAAACATCGAAAACAAGAAAACTGGACACAGGCCACTGAGCCGCATCGACAGATACCCTTTCAGTACATCCCAGGGAAAAACAAACAGAGGCGCAGATCTGGGGCCTACCGCTACCCAAAGCCTCAAGGCCTAGACTCGCTCCTAAATTTCCTCATCGGAGCGCACAGCCCAAACGTCCCGGAGCAGCTCTGGTTACCCCCGCTGCCTGATACTCCGACTATGAAACGCCGAACACAGAAACCCGACAGGGACATATGGGCTATGCTCCAGAGACCCGCAGCCTCGAAGACTCCAACCTCAGAGGCCGACCACACCACAGCGGTGCCACACTCAGGGACAGAGAGTGGGGACATGGAATCTGGGCAAACACCCCACCATGAGCCATCCCTAAGCCTAGTGCAGGCTGACAGCATGGCACTGACCACTAAAGGTGATCTCAAACTACTCCTCGCAGACCTCCACAAAATGAAGGCAGCCGACCTTGCACGAGTACGCATGGAAATCCATGCAAACACAGACTGCATTAAGGCCATGGAGGAAAGCATCCTGGATGTGCATACTGCCTATCTCAAGAACCCAGTACAGCAGCTCAAAACCCACCACAAGGCACTGGTGCACCGGCTGACAACCCTTGAAGATCAGCTAAGGAGGAACAACATTAAAATACGAGGCATACCAGTGGCAGTAAGAGCTGAAGAACTCCCGCATTATATCCGGAGGCTGCTGGCCGCCATACTCCCACCAGCGGTGGCCAAAAAAGTCACACTTGATGGCATATTCCGACTCACCAGCATGGCCAAGCCCTCCACCCCTGAGCCACGAGACGTAATCGTCCGCTGCACCTCTGCGAATGACAAAGGCCATATTATGGCGGCAATACGAGGTTAAACCCCACTGCAGTTTGAGGACTCCTCTCTAAATTTCTTTCAAGACTTAATTAGGGCAACGCTACAGTGGCGCAGACAAATGGGCCCCATCACAACTCACCTCCGGTCCAAAGGAGTGCCATACCGCTGGGGAATGCAAGGCACCTTACTCGTACTCCAGAACGGAACGACCCACATGCTCTGCGCACTAACGGAGGCACCTACCCTCTGCGCAGCCCTCGGGATAGAAACACCTGACCTCAACATCCCTGGAAGTACCACGAATAGAACATGGAATCCTGAGAATGTAATCCCCTTTGTGCCACAACATGGGAGCCTCTCCTCAACAGAGACTTGACTAGAGGGAAAACTCCGGCTGGAGCCCACTAACCCGGCTGACACACAGATACGGGACTAAGCAATGGATAAATGCACTGTATATATATTTGTTGTCCCCGTTAGCTAAATACCTTGTCTCCCCCCACCACAGAGCACACCAGAGTCATCAAAACAATAGAGGCCCAGCAGTCCCTGACAGTGCAGATACGGTGACCCCCTCCCCCCCACCCCCCGCACCCTGTGGTTACTGGGTAACACACCCGTATAAGCTCGAAGCTCACAACCACCCACACAAGCATCAGCCACTCCTCGCAACATACCGACCAGTAAAGCTAGGACATCACCACACAAGTAACGGCAGGTCGTACTCCTTACCACAAACCCCCAAGCACACAGCCACCACACTATGCAATACGCACCTGGATCTACCCCCTAGGGCAACGCACCTCACGTGGGAGATCATACCCCCTGCCAACTCGGCCAGACCTCACTCAGTGTTCCCTACACCCCGTAGTAGAGCCACATGGAGGCAGAGGGCACATGAGAATGGAGAAAAAAAGGTAAATGGGTTGGATTAAACCTGTACTATCTGAAAGATGCACTGGTCTAACGGACTCTCCTGCCTATGTCACAAGGAGGATGCATTGTCGCTCTAATGGTGGGGTGCCCAGAGGACCAGTAGTCCCATAACACTACCTGCTAGCCTACAGTTTATGCCCGATTTGATTTTTGCCTGGGTATCTCCTGCCATTCCTTTTCCTACAGCGTGCCACTACTTAATACCACTCATGACCTCCTGTACTTAGATAGAACCTGTCTGAAAAGCTTAGCCTGATATAACTCGCTGTGTATTCTTTAGCCTCTAAAATTGTTTGTATGCAGCACAGACTAGGCTCTGTCACTTCGCTTAGTGGTATCTGCAGGAACAGTGCTCATCTTACATTACCTGTTCTATTATTTTTAACTTTACAAACATGTGAGAAACCTGTCAAGCAATTTATTGTACGAGTAAACTTTCCGTGTTACCTTTGCATGTTAACCAAAAACCCCCCAAAAAGTGCAGTGATATTGAGAGCCATACCTAGAAACGCAAAATAGTAACCCTGTAATTTTCATTCTATGTCTCCACCAGCTTGTACACAAATTCATGCACTGCAAAAATAAAGAATTATAAAAAAAAATTTCAAAATATTAGGCAGACTAGATGGGCCAAATGGTTCTTATCTGCCATCACAGTCTATGTTTCTATGTTTCTATAATAACCAGCCATCTGATTCAGAATATGATAGAAAAGCCAACAAACGAGATTGTATACAAGTCCTATGAAATTATGAAAGCCTTGGCATGTCATATCCCATTCAGGTGGTAATAAAAAGATAAATCTTAACCTAATTAATGCCTAATGTGGAGTTTATTCAGAATAATTTCATGCTTAGCATCAACTTGACTAAAATTGTCATTATTTGTAATTTTATTGTGTGTCTGTGTATCAAAGGCTCACT